TGAGCAACATAGCGAGACTCTCTCTATGTTAAAAAAAAAATAGTTTTTTAATTTAAAAAAATAATAATGCTAGCAGGCATCTAATTTGGCAGAAAATGATCCCAGATGAAAAGGCGGTAACGCAGAACAAAATAAAGAACACTGGAAAAGATAAACACGTAAGCAAAGAAGAATGAATACTGACTGTTACAACAATAAAAATAATATCTAATGGGTTTTAATAACCTGTAGACCTAAAATGAATGCCAATAATAACATAAAAGGTGTGAGGCGATAGATAAAATTAAAATGTTCCAAAGTACCTTATTACCTAGGATTGAATTTCCCCAAAATAAATTTAAACATGTCCACAAATGACTCACACACAAATGAATGTTCAGATCAGCACTATTAGAGATAGCCAGAAACTGGAAAAAACTCAAATGTCCATCTACTGTGAATGGATAAGCAAATTATGGTATATTTATACAATGGAATACTACTTATCAATAAAAATGAATGAACCACTGATAGGCTAAAAACTACAGATGACTCTCACAGACATTATGTTGAGAAAAAGAAGCCAGATTCAAAAGAGTACATACTATACAATTCCATTTATATGAAGTTCTAGCCAAGCAAAACCCCAATGTGTGATGCTAAAGTCAGGACAATAGTTCTCTTTGCAGGCAACAGAAACTAGAAAGGGAGAGGAGGGGACCTCTGGGAGGTTGCCAGTATTCTATTTCTTAATATAGTTGTTTACATGGATGTGGAAATTCATCAAGCTTCATACTTAGAATTGTGCACATACATATACTTTTCTATATGAATTTCAAAAGTTTTAACAAATATTTCAGTCATACAAAAAGTTATACAAAGGATAATAAGTCTATATTCACCACTGAGGTTAAGAAACAAAACATTACCAACATAGGTGATATATATACTACTGATTATACCTCCACCCACGCCACCAGAGATAAACCACTGTCCTGAATTTGGTGTCAACCACTCCCCTGCACTATTTTATACTTTTACTCCTTCTACAAGCTTCCCTAAATGATATGTAAAACTATTTTCCATGTGTTAAAACTATACATAAAAAGTAATTTGATTTCTTTTTTTTTTTTTTTTTTTTTTTTTTTTTTTTAAGACAGTGCCTCACTCTATTGCCCAGGCTAGAGTGCAGTGGTGTAATCATGGCTCACTGCAGCCTCAACCTCCCAGGCCAAAGTGATCCTCCCACCTCAGCTTCCCAAGTAATTGAGACCACAAGCATTTGCCACCATGCCTGGCTCTTTTCTTTTCTTTCCTCTTCTTTCTTTTCTTCCTTTCCTTTCCTTTCTTTTCTTTTCTTTTTTCTTTTTTTTGTAGAGGTGGGAGTCTCCCTATGCTGCCCAGGCTGGTCTTGAACTCCAGGGCTCCAGCAGTCCTCCAGCCTTGCCCTCCCACAGTGCTGGGATTACAGTTGTGAGCCACCACATCTGGCTGGTAATTTGATTTCTATTTTTAAAAGATCATTCTAAAATTAGCACAAGGGAATTTTCTTGGATGACAAGATATTGCATATCTTGATTAGAACATTGGTCACATATGTATATATATATTTGTCAACATACAAATTGGATATTTAAGATCTGTGCATGTCATTATATGTACATTATCTCACTTTAAAAAATGTTCTAAATAGACCGTTCTTGCTTCTTCTCAGGGAATAGATCAGGGCTGGACAGAAGTGGAACCAGGAAAGTCAATTAGAATATTGCAGTAAACCTGATGAGCATCAAAGTCATCTATCTAAAGTGTAAGGAAGAAAAGACAACTTAAGGATACAATTCTTTGAGCAGCTTAACTGTGAAGCAGAGCAGTAGCTGGAGGAAGAAGTGAGGCCAGAGGCCAAAAAAGGGTTTTAAAAGATACAAAACAGAACTTGACACCGTAGAAAGGAAAAGCTGAAGAAAGACCATCAATGAGCTGGGCATGGTGGCTCACACCTGTAATCCCAGCACTTTGGGAGGCCGAGGTGGGCAGATCAGTTGATGTCAGGAGTTTGCCAACATGGTAAAACCCCGTGTCTACTAAAATACAAAAATTAGCCAGGCATGGTGGCATGCACCTGTAATCACAGGTACTTGTGAGGGATGAGGCACAAGAATCACCTGAACCCAGGAGGCAGAGGTTGCAGTGAGCCGAGATTGCACCACTGCACTCCACCCTGGGTAACAGAGTGAGATTCTGTCCCCTCCACACCACCACACCCCCTAAAACAAACAGAACAACAACAACACAAAAGACCATCCATGAAGAAACAATGAACAAAGTCCTTGAGAAGGTGGGGAGACAGAATATAACGTCCAAGTAGTTTGGTATTTGCTGGCTTACAATGTCTTTTTGCTTTTTAACTGAAAGGAAGTTAAAAGAAGGGTACATATGCAGGACAGATTGTTTGGTGGTGAAAAGATAAAAGTTCTCATCTGATGGCTGCTACTTTTTCAATGAATACAAGTCATTTTCTGAAAAAGACGGGATGGGAGCTCTGAAGCCTGTGAAAAACAGTGTGGCATTACATTAGAAAAGCATCCCAGTGTGATGGGGAGTGGTTAAGAAAAATGAAAGGTTCCATTTTAGACAGGTTAAATGCCTAACAGATATCCAAACTCTCAAAGTACAGTATGAACATGAAAGCAACAATACTGTAATTCATCTTTGATTATGCTGCACAAAGCACAGTGTATCCTATATTAGGTACTCAAGAGGGAATGAACAAGGGAATGAATGAAGATAATTTTTTTTACATATTTTCACAGCACATTTAATATCATCTGTCATATTCTACAACGGTATTGCAGAAAATATTCTTTTCAGAAATAATATATTTTCCTTTTTTCTCATTTTTAGTTCTCAATGTTCTTGGAAGAAAATCAGTCTGTGTCTTCCAATTTTATCAATTCTTCATTTTCTCTGAAGACATGATATGCTGGTCTTCTAAAATAACTTTTAAGCAGAATTCACCAATGGGGCAATTCTCACAGGTGAAAGGAGAATCTATATGCCTACGTGAACACAATTTGTGACAATCATGAGAATATAGTTAACACTAAAATTTTAAGCTCTTGCCAAGAAGGATTAATCTCTTCTCTGTATTCAGGACATGCCTGCCGATGCTAAATCACACATGCATGCTGAGTGAAGAATGCCTTTAGCTCATGTATAGGGATCACAAGATGATCTCAGTCAAACCTCAACGTAGCCCAGAAGAAGAGAAACACTGGCTGTCTTAGGAGACAAATTAGCACAAGGTACTATTTATGTATCATTTATCAACTGTGAAATTTTAAAAAATGGTTATAAATACAGTACTTGCAGCATAAACCATTATTTATTACACTAAGTTCCATTTAAAAGGACTCCATTCATGCAGGATGCTCTGTTTTGGTTGGCTGAGCAGTCAGATTTCTGTGCTTATAATTCATGTATATACTTACTATGTGTATTGAGTGTACTCTCTTAATTCCAGTTGCGACAGCCAGACTGTAAATGCATATGTTTTTGTCATTCTTAACTACTGTAATTCAGAACTTCAGCTGCCAAATTTGGTGCTAATATTCTCACATATGCAGTTCATGCTCTGCTCTTAAATAATTCCTTGTTTGCTGTCAGCACCTTCTACCATGATATATAAAATGGGAGAATCAATTTAAAGAAAAATAACCTAAATTGTTAACTAAATGGAGCTACAATGTATCTTTCTTCTTGAAAATATTCCCTTTCCTATTATTTCCTTTATTTAGTAATTATAAACCCTGGTCAAGCAAAAAATACATATAGCAGAACATTTTAAGTATCAGCAAACAACAAACAGCTGTGTTTTCAAGAAGAAAAAAGGAAAATCTCAGTTTCATGCTAGACCATTTTTTGAGGCACTGTCATTTTAAGTGTGGAGGCATCAATTATTTCCCCTAGGCTGAAAGGTCTACACATATAAAGGTTCTATAGATCCACTAAGAAAATAAGCAACCATTTCTGTGTATCATTAAACGCAACAGGATACTAGTCCTGAAACACCGGCAGAATTCTGAGTGTGAACATTAAGGTTTCATACATCAGTTTCAAGTGAAATAGTTGTTTTAGGCCAAAGACGTTTGAGACCATACTTCAAGTTGTCAGCTGCATAATATTTCAAGGGTCAAAAACTAGCTCCATTTCAAAAGCCTGTAACCTTACAGTCTGAAGAAACCCTGTGGGTCTCCTAGTTCAATATGACAACAGAGGCAGGAATTTTTCCCCTAGCATCCCTGACAGATGGTCAGCCTCTGTTGCAATTACTCCAGTGGGGGAGTTCTCAACAGAAGGTTCCCAAGGGCTATGATGAAAGGCCAGAACCAGCCATTCAGACCTGGAGTAAGGCTCCAGTCAGTAAGCTCGCAAGATACAGACAGCATTACCAAACATTAAAACCAGACTTTCACAAGCAAGAATGCGATTCTGAACTGACCATCATAAGGATGCAATGTCTAAGACACGCAGACCCCAATTCTAGAACCATCCAAGGTCCTTTCACTGGCCTAGGGAGTAGCTCTCACAACTGGGGAAGCAAGGTGGCTTTTCTCCGTTTTTTTTTTTTTTTTTTTTTTCTTGAACGACCCTTTAAGGCTCACAGCAAGGCTTGATCAAGTCAGGGAGCATCAAATCCCTTCCTTCCAAAAATCAAGGCAAGGGACCCCCTGGCGGAAATGCTAAGGCTTAAAATACTCTTAACTTTGGTCTTAAATTCGTCACTACAGTAAACCAGAACATTTCGGGTTTTTCTTTTAAAGATGTACACAGGCTATGCTATAACTGAAGTTTGGATGGTGTAGGGTAGATGGGGGGTGGGGGGCGAGCGGTGTTTTCAGCGCAGCCCTTCATCCCGCCTTGAAGTCTGGCTTGATCCTCCCTGGAAATCCAGGCGAGCGCGCGGGGCTGAGCTGCCGGCCGGTCCCCAGCCGGAGCCTGGGACGGGGCGGTCCGGCCCTTACCTGTCAATGCTGATCACGCACAGGGTCATGATCGAGGCCGTGCAGCACATGACGTCCATGGCGATGAAGACGTTACAGAAAAAGTGGCCAAAGATCCACTTGCCCCCGATGAGGTCGGTGACGCTGACGAAGGGCATGACCGCCACGGCCACCGAGAGGTCAGCCAGCGCCAGGGACACGATCAGGTAGTTGGAGGGCTGGCGGAGCTTCTTGACGAAGCACACGGAGATCACCACTAGGCAGTTGCCCGCGATCGTCAGCAGCGTGATGAGCGTCAGGATGGAGCCGATCACAACTTTCTCGGCTCTGCCGTAGTTGATCTGTTCCCCACAGCCGGAGGCATTGTCCGGGGGCGCGTCCCAGGTGGGCGCGGGGCTGGCTGTCACCTCGCTCAGCAGTTGCGGCGCCCAGGAGCCCGCGACCGGGTCGGCGCCACCGTCGGGGCTCAGGTCGGGCAGCCCGCGCCCCACCTCTGGCAGAAGGAAAGAGCGGAGGTGCCCGTAGAGGTCTGGGCGGCCGCTGCTGTTAACGTCCATCATCGCGCCGCCGTGTGCCGCTGCCCATGGAGCCGGCGCCCCCGCCACGCGCTCCGGCTGCCGGCCCCGGGGCTTCACCTCACCGGTTCCGCTCCGCCCGGCCCAGCCATGGGGCCCGCGCCGACCGCTGGGGGGCGCCCCGCTCGGTCTCGGAGCCCCGCACTCCCCGGACCCCCGGCCGCTGCGGATAACGCGGGAGCGCGGCCTCACGGGGACTCCCTGCGGGAGGCACCTCGGCCCCCGACGGACGCCCGGGACACGCGAAGTCGAGGGAGCTCGGGCCGGGCTCCGCCGGCAGCTCCACAGCTCGCAGCAGCCGCTCGGCTGGGCCGAGAGCGCCCGGGCGGCAGCGGCAGCGGCAGCAGCAGAAGTTGCGGAGTGCGCCCCGCCCCTCGCGCCCGCCGCCGCCGCCGCCGCCGCCGCCGCTCCCCTGCGGCAGCCGCGCCGCGTCCCCGCCGCCGCCGCCTCCGGCCGCTGCCCGCGCCCTCGCGCTCCTGGGACGGGATACCCGGGCTGGGCAGGGACCGCCGCCTCTCCCGCGCCTCCCTACTGTGAGGGGGCGGCGCTGCACGCGCCTCCCGGGATCCCGGGTCCCTTCGCCCGGGAAGCTGTCCTTGCCGCATGATAGATACTCAGAACCCCTCCAGCCGACCCCAGCCTCCGCACAGTAGTCAGCCACAGTTCAGTGGGGCATTTTTCTTTTGTTAAGAGGCCTAATGAGCCAGCGGATGTTCGGGCTCATTGCGAAATGAAGAACCTGAGGGGGATTTTATTTTTCTTAATTAAACAAACAAACAAAAAAACCTCTCCGAGCACTACACTAAGCAACAAATAGGTACTTCCGTTTTCTATTTTGACCGCTTATGGAAAGAAGCGAAGATGGAATAGAAGCAGCCGAATGGGGTGAGGGTGGGAGCTCTGAGAAGAGGAAGAAGGAAAAAAAGGAGGAAGGGGGATTCCTTAAGCCCCTGGCACTTGAGAGATGGGAATGCTCCGGGGACGAGGCCTCCAAGGGGGTTAAACCCATTTAGACTAATCCTTCCTGGATGTCTAGAAACAGTCCTCTTCGCTCTGAAAATAGACCCTGATTGCCCTTATATTTCGACTTCAAAGCCTAATATATTGAAAAGAGAGTTAATTTTCCCGTAGCGTTCTGGAAGTCTTACACATAAGCAAAGAAATGGCCGGTTATACTGTTCTATAGAGGAATCCGCGAGGTGTATGTTGATTTAATACCTATTGGCTAAAATTCCCCTTAGTATCTAAACCCTGTCAGAGCGACTGATTTTTATTGTTTGTGAGACTTGCTTCATTCCATTTCGTTTAAAGGTTTCACTGGAAGCCAGCAGTGATTTCTTTAGTTTAAGACTCTAAAAATAATCAAATCTGTTTTCTTTTCTTGTTAGGCCCTAGCGGATTATAAATAAGAAGAAAAGGAATAAAAATCTCAAAGTATATTGATCAGAGTGCTGAATAGTACTTCCATTCTTCAAGGTGTGTATTAGCCCTGTTTTTCCAGATAAGGAAACTTGTTTGCTCTTGCAATCAGCTAGTAAGAAATAGTTATGTTTCAAACCCAGGTTTATCTGATTACTATGCCCGTATTTTTCCCTGTACACATTCAAAGAAAGTTTTAATGAAAAGAAAAGAAAAAAAAAAGCCCTCATGGTTGGCCAATGTTCACAGCTCTTTCGCTGTGATCAACATTTCAGACGCTCCTGTCTGCCTAGGATAAGCAAACTAATCCATTGAGTCAGAGGGAGAATGGAAGATAATATCTAGGCCACAAAGCAATATTATCTAATAGTTAAGAAGATGGATGAGGAAATTTCTTCAACCTTACTTATGTCAGTTATTCTCTGTTTCGCTTTTCTTGGTTTCAGTTATCTGTGGTGAACCATGGTCCCAAAATATTAAATGGAAATTTTCAGAAATAAACAACGTGTAAGTTGTTAATTGCACACTATTCTGAGTAGTGTGATGAAATCTCTGTCTTACCCAGGATATGAATCATCCCTTGTCCAACATATCCACACTGTATATACCACCCACCATTAGTCACTTAGTAGCCCTCTCTCTTATCAGATGGAAAAAAAACAAAAAAAACATAGTATATATAGGATTGAGTACTATCTGAGGTTTTAGGCATCCACTGGGGATCTTGGGAGATATCCCCTGAGGAAATCTCAGACAAAAGACAAATAGTTTGTTGCTGGAATGCATCTAAGAAACCATTTGTTCACCCTTCAGTGCAGAGGAGGAAATAGAGGCTGGGAGAAATTTTATAACTTGTCCAAGATCATATGTGACTGCATTGAAATGTCTCCATTTTTTATTTTGAGGTGTAGAATTGTCTTAAGGTCTTTTAAAAATTCGTTCATGACATTTTTTCATTTTAACTTTTCAACTCATTTTAACTTACTTTGACTTTTGTATTCTTCCCCTTGAATACCCTAATCAGTTCAGCTTATGTATTCTGTCTTGGCTCTGTCAAATAATATTCCACAATAATTACACACAGATTTTGAAAATTAATCGTTTTATTTGTATTTAAACCTCTAGTCAATATGATTTACCACCTACACTCTTACCAGCCCTCACATAGCCCATTTATATTTCACAACAGCTTCTAGTTTTTGCTTTTGTCTTGTTTTAGTCCCTTTGGGATACCATAACAAAAATATCATAGCCTGGGTGACTTAACAACAAACATTTACCAAGATCAAGGCACCAGCAAATTCAGCGTCTGGTGAGGGACAATATTCTGGCTTATAGACAGCCATCTTGCTGTGTCCTCACCTGGCAAAGGGGGTAAGAGAGCTCTCTGGGTCCTCTTTTTTTTTTTTTTTGAGACAGAGTCTTGCTCTGTCACCCAGGCTGGAGTGCAGTGGTGCGATCCCAGCTCACTGCAACCTCCACTTCCCAGGTTCAAGCAATTCTCCTGCCTCAGCTTCCCAAGTAGCTGGGATTACAGGCACATGCCACGACACCTGGCTAATTTTTGTATTTTTTGTAGAAGAGACCGCGTTTTACCACCTTGGCCAGGCTGGCCTCAAACTCCTGACCTCAAGTGATCCGCCTGTCTCAGCCTCCCAAAGTGCTGGGATTACAGGCATGAGTCACCACGCCTGGCCTGGGGTCCCTTTTATGAAGGTACTAATCCCATTTAGGAGGGTTCCACCCTCATGACTTAATCATCTCCCGAATCATCTTCCCTCTCCCATCTGACAAAGGCCTAATGTTCAGAATCTATAACTTAAATGAAGAAACAAGCAAGAAACAACCCCATTAAAAAGTGGGCAAAGGACATGAACAGACACTTCTCAAAAGAAGACATACAGGTGGCCAATAAACATGAAAAAATGCTCATCATCCCTAACCATGAGAGAAATGCAAATCAAAACCACAATGAGATGCTCTCTCACACCTGATACCATCACAATGGGGAGTAGGATTTCAATATACCAGTTTTTCGGAGGAAACAAATGTTCATTCCATAACAACTTTTAAATTGTGTGACATATAAATACAGGAAATAATCATTAAAATACTATTTTTTAAATTACTTTCTCCTTCATTGTCAATATAGCGTCGAGTTCAAGCTCCCTTTTTTATAGAACAGTCACCTCTATTATATTATCCCTAGTGATGGCTGAGTGTATTTCCCAAGAGTTGCTAGGTTTTTAATTTATAAGCTGTCACAATGCATAAACATACTTATTGAAAATCTCGGCTTCTACAGCATTACTTTGCTTATGTTGAGTTTAAATTTCATCTATCATTGTGTTATTCCAAAATCCTGACAGAACAATCTGGAATTCTTTCAGTTTCCCTTTAACCTTCACTAACAAATAATTATGTCCTCATAAAAATGCCAAAATCTAGTGTATACTTTTCCATAATTTTCTCACAAAGAAACGCTAAAGATATAGCTTCACAAAATATTCATAAAATATCTAAATATTCATCTAAATTTGTTGTTTGTTCTGCCCTTAGTTTTCTGGTGTTTAAAAGCCATATCAAGGTGTTGCTTCCTTCTTCCCTCCCACTGCCCGCCCACTCTTTGACAGTTATACCAGAGACAGTGAGTAAAGTGTTGGCATCTAAATCAAATCATGTCTTTAGTTTTTATCCCTTTTATTCCTTGCATTTAAAAAAATTACTGCTTTTAAAAGTACCAACTCTTATCTAGACTCCCATTGGCTACAATAACATTCTCATAAGATTGTCAGTGAGGGCACCTGAGAATACAGCTTTTTGAGGTTTCCAACTGGCAGTCTCCTGCTCTCAGAACTGCTCTGGGGGAGGGCAGAAGAACTGTGGAGTCTTACAGCATAGTTACTGTCTTCTTATGCCCTTCTTCCCTCTAGGTACTCATCTAGCTCATCTAAATGCATATGCGTAATCCCATCTATGAAAACCCACACATATCCCTCCATAGGACATAAGCTTAGGATAGTTTGTTTTGCCATAAACCGGCATACCCTGACAACCTAGATGTACTTTAAAAAGCACAAATAAAGCTTCCTAACCATAGGGTTCATTGGCAACTCACTAGTCAGTCAAGCATGCTGATATCATGTCTACTGGGGGTCTGATGGCCTCCCATGCCCAATGCAGTGAACTTCCACAGGGCTACTCTTTCATTTCCCCAAATTTTTCAGTCTCTCACATTTGTACCCCATTTTCTCACTCAACTAAACTAATTATCTGGGTGTCCTTTGCCCCCAGAATTGGGTGAGAAAAGACTAGGCAAACTAGAATGCTTAGACAGTGTAGCACTAAAAGTATTGCATATAAATATCCAGATACTACCCTGTGGCCATTATTGGGGCTACAGATCACTATCACAGAGACAGAACACATATGCTAGAGACAGGGACTCAAATCCATCAACACAGACATTTTTGAGGCCCAGTTAGGGTAAAAGCAGTTAGTCTGGGACACCTGAATGTCTCCTTCTCAGTGAGAGTACCCCTTGCCATAGTTAATATCATTCTTTCTAGGGTTTTAAAGCACTTTTAAGTTATCTTTATTATAGTATATACTGTTGCATTATGCTTCATATTTCCATGACATCTTCCCCATTAGACTGTGAACTCACCAAAGGGATATTTCCTTACTCCTGCCATACACTAGGTGTCCAATAAACATTAGTCAGTTGAACTGAGTGTAGAATAATGCCTATAACCAAGAATCCGTCATGTTTCAAGGTAATTGTTCAGCTTAAAAAATGAATCGTGAGTTTTGTTTTAATTTAGACATACTAAAAAAAAAGTACATTTTTTCTTTGATTTTTTCCATTTAGAAAATTTTCATTCTATTTACAAAGTAAATGTAACCTTTAAAAAGTTTCCACCAAACAAGATAAATGAAAAA